AAGTTGAATGAATTTGTCACCAGAAAACTAAAGGAAGTTCTTCAGTCTCAAGGAAAATGGTCCTAGAAGGAGGCATATTAGAATGTAAAAGAGTATTGACTGCATAATAATGAATTATGGGATTTTAAAATATATGTAGAATTTTAATACACGACTGAAATAGCACAAAAAGCTGGAGGGAAATAAATGAAGTTAAATTGCTTTAACCGTCTGTGGAGAGCTCAGGAACAAAATGTGCCAAATGAGGTGTGCAGCAATCAGAACCACTGTTATGGCACACTGATGACAAACTACTCTGGATGTTCTTTGGTTTCTTACTAATCAAAATAATTCACCCAAGTTGGTTTGAGTCATTTCAAGTATGACTGTGAAAAATATGGAGAATGAAGCATATAATGCTTATAGATTCTTACAGGCTCAAGTCAGGTCACATAACAGAAACATGTGTTGTTAAGTTTTTATTTGCAAAATGAATGAGGCCAGTTGCATGCAGCTTCCTGTCGTATGCAGCTAGGACTACAAGTCCTATCATCTGGAAGCTGAGCCAGGAGCCTCTTGGGAATTGAAGGTTTGTAGTGAGATGTGAACATGCCACTGTACCCTAGTCTGGGTGAGAGCAACTGTGCAGTCATGCATGCTCTCTCTCACTCACTCTCAAACATGTACATATATACACGCAGAGCTCTTGCAGTGATTGAGAAATGGAAAAATTCTAATTTAAGGTACAGTGAATTACATCAAAGATTCATAACCACTAAAATAATAATAAAAGAATATGTATCTAAATAGCAAATAGAGGAAACAAATGGTATAACAAAATAAGCAATCACTGCAAAAGAATACTTGAAAAGAGAAATAAAGGATCAAAGAACACATGGGCCACTAAAAAAACGCTTAAAAATTCAATTACGTCAGAAATTATATAAACTAACTGATGTGATCATAAAATATATTATCAGAATGAACATAACTAAGTGGTATTTTATAAAATACACACTTTAAGTATAAGAAAACTGAAAGGTTTAAAGTATGGAAAGCAATATACTGAACATTAACACTTCATCTAATAAGTTTTTGTTTTTGTTTTTTTTTTTGAGACAGAGCTTCAAGCTGTCCCTCTGGGTAGAGTGCTCTGGCATCACAGCTCACAGCAACCTCCAACTCCTGGGCTCAAGAGAGTCTCTGCCTCTGCCTCCCAAGTAGCTCGGACCACAGGCGCCCGCCACAATGCCCGGCTATTTTTTGGTTGCAGCCGTCATTGTTGTTTGGTGGATTGGAACCCGCCACCTTAGGTGGCGAGCCAAGTTCTTAATTTCAAATATTGTATTCTTCAGTTATATCATGTCTATTTGATTTTTTAAAGATAAATTTCAATTATCTTTTCAATTATGTTGTACATCTTTTCCTCTGTTTTTTATAAAAAACTGTACGAGCATATTAATAACAAAGCAAACATTATAGTAAGTATAATTAGAGACAAGTAAGGAGATTTTATCCAGATGAAAGGGCCAACTCAGCTCTGTGCCTGTGGCACAGTGGTTACAGCACCAGCCACATACATTGAGTGTGGTGGGTTCAAACCTGGCCTGGGCCAGCTAGACAACTGTGACAAAAAATAGCCGGGCATTACGGAGGGTGCCTGTAGTCCCAGCTACTTGGGAAGCTGAGGCAAGAGAATTGCTTAAGCCCAAGAGTTTGAGATTGCTGTGAGCTGTGTGATGCCACAGCACTCTACCCAGGGTGACACAGTGAGACTGTCTCAAAAAAAAAAAAAAAAAAAGGGCCAACTCACAGAAAATACAATCCTTAATTTATAGAATCTAATAACACTGCTTCAAAATATATAGAGCTTAAATAGACTTTAAGGAAGACCAATCTACTTATAACTGGATAGAAGACTTGAATAGCTGACAACTGCAGAATACATGTTCTTTTTAAGTGTGTGAAGAACATTCACAGACTACACATTGAGCCATGAAGTTAGCCTGAACAAACTTCAAGGGCTTGAAATCATACAACATATGTTATCTGACAAATCAATAGAAGAAAAAATAGATTATTTTTTTCAGGAAGACAAAGACTCACTGTTGCCCTGGGTAGAGCACTGTAGCATCACGGTCACCTCAAATTCCTGGGCTCGAGTGATACTCTTGCCTCGGTCTCTGAAGTAGCTGAGACGATAGGTGCCTACCACAATGTCCAGCTAGTTTTTCTATTTTTAGTAGAGATGGGTCTCACTTTTCCTCAGACTGGTCTCCTGAACTCAAGCAATCCACCTACCTTTGCCTCCCAGTATGCTAGGAGTAATCATGAACTACTACACCCACTCAGGAAATTTTGAAATATTTGAAATTTAGTAACCTAAACATCATCACAATGAAAATTAGTAACTAATTTGATTGAAAAACTGAAAGATAATGAAAACAAAATATATCAAATATGAGGAAAGGAGTTATAGCAATGCTTAGAGGATAATTTACAGTTCCAAACACATATTTTATTTTTTAAGATAGAGTCTCACTCTGTCGCTCTGGCATCATCATAGCTCACAGCAACCTCAAATTCCTGAATTCAAGAGATCCTCTTGTCTCAGCTTCCCAAGTAGCTGGGATTCCAGGCACCTGCCACTAGGCCCAGTTAGTTTTTCTATTTTTAGTAGAGACAGGGTGTGGTTCTTGCTCAGTCTGGTCTGTAACTCCTAAACTCAAGTGATCCTCCCACCTCAGCCTCCCAGAATGCTAGGATTACAGGCATGAGCCACCATGCCCAGCCCCAGTTTCTTATTAAAAGTATACTGGAGGGAGGTGCCTGTAGCTCAGTGGGTAGGGCACTGGCCACACTGATGCTGGTGGGTTCCAGGCTGGCCCGGGCCTGCTAAACAACAATCACAACTGCAACAAAAAAATAGCCAGGCGTTGTGGTGGGCACCTGCAGTCTCAGCTATTTGGGAGGCTGAGGCAAGAGAATCACTTAAGTCCAAGATTTTGAGGTTGCTGTGAGCTGTGACACCACAGCATTCTACCCAGGGTGATAGCTGGAGACTGTCTCAAAAATAAAAAAGGCAATACAAAGAAATAAATATCAGGTTGAAAGAAAGAAATCAGTGCCATTATTTACAGATGATAAGACTGTGGTACTGCTGTAAAGACAGATAATAAAGTAGAATAGAGGGTTCAGAAAAAGACCAACCTATATTCAGCACCCACATTACAACAAAGGTGCCACTGCAGTGTGGTGGGGAGGAAGAACCATCTTTTCAATAAATGTTGCTGGTCAAGTTGCTTTCTCTATGGGAGGAAAAAAAAAAATCAATCTTTGTCTATTCCTTATACCATACATAAAAGACAATACCAAATGCATTATGAAATGCAAAGTAAATATAAAAATTCTTGAATTTATATGAGGACATAATTGTCTTCACAGGACAAGTTTACAAAGAGTGCCAAAATGTATACACATTTTAAGAAAGGAAAAAACTGTATTGTTTGTAATACTCAATACATGTGCACACACCAGTAACAAAAGATGAATTCAAGTCCCATTGAGCACCTCTTGTAATTGCAGAAGTCAAACGTGACTTGAGTATTACAAATTTAACAGTTTCTTCCTTTCTTAAACATGTATTTTTTTTTGCACTCTGCATTTGCATGTAACTGTACAGAGATACAACTGGAATGAATAGGTGAATGAATGAATGAATCACAAGGTCTTGTGATATAAAAATGAATACTATAAAAAAAAGAATTAGAAAATGACATTTTAAAAAGATATTAAAGTAGCATCTACAAAAACCATCAAGTAAATACCAAGGAATAAATATAATGAAGGATATACGCTGATTATAAAACATTACTGAGAGAAATTAAAGATTAAACAAATGTAGAGACATAACTACATTCGTGAGTTAGCTCAATTTTATAAAGATGTCTATTCTTTCCCAATTGATTTATAAATTTAATACTAATAATCCCAAATTTAAAAAATGAATATATACCACTTAGATGACTTTAAAATTTACTGGAATATACAAAGAGCCAAGAATAACCAAAATATTCATAAAGAGAAACAAAAGATGGAGGATTTATACTATCAAATATTATCTTCTTATAAAGTTACAGTAATTAAGACAATGCTGTATTAACAAAAGAGAAAAACAGACCAACAGAATAGAGTCCAGGATAGATTCATTCATAATAGATGTTTGATTTATGACAAAGTGGCTCTGTAAAGCAATGGAAAACACAATCTTTTTGCCATATGATACTATCCTAAAAGCCATATTTGGGGTAGGGATTGAAAACTTCTTCCTTATGCCTTATACAAAAACAATTTTACTTTATGTATTTTTTGAGACAGAGTCTCACTTTGTCACCCTCAGTAGAGTGCCATGACATCAAAGTTCACAGCAACTTCCAGCTCTTGGACTTAGGTATCTTGCCTCAGCCTCCCGAGTAGCTGAGACTACAGGCGCCAGCCACAATGCCTGCCTACTTTTTTGTTGCAGTTTGGCCAGGGCTGGGTTTGAACCCGCCACCCTCAGTATATGGGGCCAGCGCCCTACTCACTGAGCCACAGGCACTGCCCTACTTTATTTATTTTTTTAAAGACAGAGTCTCACTCTATTGCCCTAGGTAGAGTGCTGGGACATCATAGCTCACAGCAACCTCAAACTCCTGGGCTCAAGCAATCCTCTTGCTTCAGCCTCCTGAATACCTGGGACTACAGGCACTCACCACAATGCCTGCTAGTTTTTCTATTTTTGGTAGCAATGGGGTCTTGATCTTGCTCAGGATGGCCTCAAACTCCTTTCTTCGATGAAAATTCAAGGAATGAGAATCAATAAATAAGAATAAAAGAGGGTCAACTGTAACTGCTATGGGGACCTTTTAGTTCCAAGATCCTATCTGTGACCTCAGTCACTCAGCTCTTTTCTTCCTAAGAAAATCTCAATCTTCTTTGCCTTCCTTGAAGAAGCCATGTGCTCCTGAGGAAATCAACCCCAGATCCTGGCCTCTCATTAAATGATGTCTACAAAAAGCTAAGTTGACTAATATCAGCATTTTTCCATCTTATAGAATACAAAGTTTTATACAGAGAACATCAAAATTATATTAAAGTTTACAATAGAACTTTCTGGCATCTATAACTGAACAAAAGTATCCCAATTTATAAAAATTACAGATCCAACCGTAGTTAGGGTCTCTTACTTAAAATAACAACATTGACATTACTTAATAGCACAGAGGAAAAAGCCTTGGTATCAAATTTGAATTGCATCAATTATTTTTTTTCAAATGAGATTTTTATAAAGTATTTTGAGCACTAATTCCAATAGCAAAATTTCTTATATTTTACCTCAGCTAGCTTCCTTCAATTTAACACTGGAAATCAAAGGTAAATGTGATTCATTTCATACCTCATTTACCACAATGTCAAACTTGTGGTTATGTAGATGACTAGTAGTGCTTTGAAAAATTCCTCACAGGCAGGGTGCAGTGGTTCATGCCTGTAATCCTAGCACTATGGGAGGCTGAGGCTGGCAGACTGCTTGACCTCAGGAGTTCAATACCAGCTTGAGAAGAGTGAGACCCTCGTCAATAAAAAATAAATAAATAAAAATAACTGGGCTTTGCAATGGGCACCTGTAGTCCCAGCTACTTGGGAGGCTGAGGCAAGAGGATCACTTGAGACTAAGAATTTGAGGCTGCTGTGAGCTATGATGCCATAGCACTCTACCGGGGGCAAGAAAGTAAGACGCTGTCTCAAAAAATTAAATAAAAAACTCATGAGCAGCCCCTGTGGAAAAGGAAGCCTGATGATGGAATTTGTACTCTTGACTAAAAGTAGGTCTCTACAACAGGTTCATTTAACTTTCTTTCATCTGGGCTTAAGATTAGACAATCTAGGTTTAAATTTCGGTCTTACCATTTAATAATTGGCTCTGGGTTAACTGCTTAATCTTCTGGGCCTAATTTCCTCATTTATAAAATGAGAACAATATGACTGTTTTAAAATTAATTGAGGCTAGATATGGTGGAGCAGGTCTGTAGTTGCACCACTCTAGAGGCAGAACGACTTTACCTGGTAAAAGTTACTACACTCTTCAACCTGGGCAAGAGCAAGACCCCACTTATACAGAAAAAATAAATTAGCCGCTAAGTGTGGTGATGTGCACCTATAGTCCTTGCTACCCAGGAGTCTGAGGCAGGAGGATTGCTTGAGACCAAAAGTTCAAGGTTGCAGCGAGCTGTGATCATGCCACTGCACTCCAGCCTACATGACAGAGACTGTGCCTCTAAAAGATAGATTTAATTAACCATAACAAAATTGAGTTATTATATATAAAAGTGTTTAGCACAGTGCCTGGCACATGGAAGTATGACATCACAGCTATTATTATGTGTGAAATGAAAATAGCTATTCTTCTCACCTTGTAAGGCTGTATCAAAGATTAAATAAAAGAATCCACTTTGTATGCAGTAAATGCAATCAAAATAGGAACTCTAGTATCACAACTACACATCACATGCAGTGTTTATTAAGAGTTGATATTATAGACAGATGTAAAACCTTTATTTTCCTCTTCCAAGTTATACTTCACTAGTATGATAACTAGTCACAGTAAAATTTTTACTTCCTACTCTAAAGGAACTTCATTTTTCTTCTGGAAGAAGCAAGAAGCCATATAGAAGTCTCACTGTTTGCTTCTTGATGAAAAAGCTGAAGAAAACAGTTAAAAGTGGAGCTAGAAATAGAAAATACCATCCAAGAAATAGTATTTCAGTTCTTACCTGTTCTCTTTATTATAAACATTATCATAAGTATACTTATGATGACCATACTCTTTAGTCGAATATATAGGTTAATGCTTATAAATAAGAACCAGACATCAGATTTTTTTTTTTTCCTTTGGAGACAGAGTCTTGCTCTGTTGCCCAGGCTAAAGTGCATGAGCCTAGCTCATAGCAACCTCAAACTCCTGGGCTCAAGCAATCCTCTTGCCTCAGCTTTCTGAGTAGCTGGGACTACTGGCACACAACACAATTCTTGGCTAATTTTTCTATTTTTAGTAGAAATGGGATCTCACTCTTGGTCAGGCTGATCTTCAACTCCTAAATCCAAGTAATCCTTACATCTCAGCCTTCTAGAGTGCTAGCTTTACAGGTGTTAGCCCCACCATGACCAGCCTATCAGCATACATTTCATCATTTTATTACTGAGCTTATACATTATGTTGACCACTCAACGGACTATAACAAACTGGTCAACATACAGAGGTAGTCATATAAGGAACTAGGCCCACTGTACCAATACATACATGTGTGCACGTCCCATCTATGAAAATTAGATCAAACTTAAGGAAGTGGTTAACTATGGAAGTTCTACTGTATAGAGTACTCATATTGTAAAGCTTTAAGAAAATTACATGGCAATTCTATGTTCTCTTTTATCTCCAACAGTCCTAATGACCTTTTTATCCCCTCTGTTCCTTGTAGGAATCAATCAAAATACAATAAGAAAGTGTTCTTATTTCAACTGTCTTTTCTGTAAATGTTCTACATTTGTCTTGTTCACAACCGTATTTGCAGTGCCTAGTACGAGTGCTGAATGAGTGGCTCCAAAAACATCTTCCTATGTCAAAGCCTGGAGGTCTTCATAGCCAGATAACAAGTCAGGTAATATGGCCTAAGCAACAATTTTAATTAGCATTTCCTTCAGTTACCAACTACTGCCCATCATAGAAAATTTGGAAAACAGGAAAAGAATGACACCACCCATGGTTTTTTCACCCAGTTTTCTGGTTTTCAAAATTGCCCCTTCACTTCCTTGTGACCAGAATGCTTGAGTCTGTCTCAGACAAATCATTTTCTTCTCTTTTTTCCTTCCAAATGCTCCTAAAATAATACTGCATGATCCTGGAGTTTTGTAGTATTCTTGCACTCCAGAATAATTTAGAGAGTTACTTCTACAATACAGATATGGGGGTAATGAAAGACTTCCAAATTTAATTAAAGGAACAGAACACCTAGGCACAGGACAGAAGCCGACAACCCATAACACTTCTTTCTGGCATGTTTTCTAAGTGTCTATAAGTGATTAATGCTTTTCATTCAATTACTAGTGCATATCTTAACTATTCTTTGGATAGTCAACCTTTATAAACCTGTGCTAATATTTAACCAATATTAAATCAATACAAGTTAAATATGGTGAAGCCAGTGGATATGGAGGGATGACTGTACTGTCTTTTATGTAACAATAATCTGTTATACAATAAATTTTTATACTTTTTAATGTAACAAGAATTTGTTACACATCATGAGGAATACAGAGAAAATTCCACATTAATCTTGCTTTCAAGAACTCAAGAGTTTTATCAGTAAGAGAGAATATGCACAACATTAAGTACACCATAAAGTCAATGGTGCAATACAGAAACTACTCCAGCTGAGAAAAGGCAGGCAGTCAGGGAAGGCTTAGCAGGGACAGCCACAAACTAAACTGAGCACTGTGCCAGATCTGGGCTTAGCCATTAACAGGACAGTAGTTTTCACTTAAGGCTCCCAATGCCACAGAGTAAGAAGTCTAAATACTCTGCTGAAAGACCACATAGAAAGCTCTGCTACTATATGGAGAGGGAAAGCTGAGCCCAGCCTTCTAGCCATCTCTGACAAGGCACATGATGGAAGACACCATCTTGGAAGTGGATCTTCCAGTACTGGCCATGTGCATATAACAGCACATGGACCAGAGGTGAACCTCCCAGGTGAATCCTTCCCAATTTCCACTCAAAACTGTCAACAAATAAAACTGCTGTATGAAGTCAGCAAGTTCTAGAGTGGTTTGTAAGGCATCAATAGATAACCAAAACAGCTCAAACCGTATTTTCTAGCTAATGGAAAGCAATAGAATGACAGCTGTTCTTCAGAAAAATCAACCCAAGCTGGGTATTATGGTGGGCACCTGTAGTCCCAACTACTTGGGAGGTCAAGGCAAGAGGATTGCTTGAACTGAGGAGTTTGAAGTTGCTGTGAGCTATGGCGCCATAGCACTCTACCCAGGGCAACAGAATGAGACTCTGTTTCAAAAAAGGAAAGAAAAGAAAAGAAAAATCAACCTAGCAGCAAAGTGTGGGACAGCCTATGGGAGACATCTGATGCCAGGAAACAAGAGCCAGTGAAGTCTGAACTAGAGATAATAGTATGTAGGGGGAGGAAAAAAACATAAAATGCAGACTACAAAGTTAGATCCAACAGGACTTTTGTACTTAACTGGCTATCAAGGTAAGGAGTCAAAGTTGACCTAGATGTAGAGATCAGGTAACTACGGGATGGTGACGTTACTAAGGAAGAACAAGGCAGATGATGAGTTCACAATAAGAAAATACAATGTGTTAACTTTAATACATAGACAAAATGGAATTAAAGGAAAATAACATTGATAATTACAGATATATTATGCAAACGATAGTGTAGAGTTTAAGAGAGCTCTAAAAATCCTGTTATTGGTGTCTTTCCACAATAGGAAAGGTTTTAAACCAAAAATTAAATTTAAAATCTTCAGTGGCTGGGCTAGTTTAACATAAAACAGTATTTTCCTCAACTGTCAACTGAGAATTGGTTTAGCAACTAGAACAGGTAAGTAGGCACATCCTCATCCTCGAAGGGCAAATCAATGTTTTCAGTAATCATTTTAGAATCAAATCTTTTGTGAACTCAGAGGACATCTTGCCCTTTTTTATTCCAACTATTGCCTTGTAGGCTCCACCCTCTGACATATTTCTACACTGAGAGTTATTTTTTTAAGACCACAACGCTCACATGGTAAAATCAAAATCCTTACCATGGCTTACAAAACACTGCAATCCTATCCTATGAACCTTGCTGTCACAAGCTCACTTCATACTTTCCCACTATTCACCGGTAACAGGGGCTCAGTTCCTTGAACAGGCCATGCCTCTTTGTTCACTTCAGGCTTTTCTGGGCTGGATTACTCTTCGTTACTGATTCTATGATGGAGTCAACCCTATTCATCCTTCAGATTCTTCACATCCTTATCCTCACAGAAAAACCTTTCTTGACTATTTCCTAGATAAGCACCCCCCCTCCCAGTTCAATCACACATCCCTCATATCTGAAAAGTACTTACCATAACAATAATTTCATGCCTTTAGGAAACAATGTTTAATTTTGGTATCCTCTGCTAAAACTTTAGTTCCCAGAAGGCAGGCTTGTGGGTCTTACGTGCTTCCAAAGCCTGAGAACATAACGGTCTGGCACAAAGTAGATGTTCTAGAAGTACTTTCTGAATCAATAGCATTCACTGGCATAGCAGGATAATGAAGGGCATGAACTCCAGAACAAAACTGAGTTAAAGTTCCAGCTCTCACCTTACAAGCTTTGTGACTAGATAGGTTATTTTTCAGCCCCTCAGTTTCTTGCCTTATAAAATAAAGATAACAGTCTGGGCACGGTGGCTCATGCCTGTAATCCTAGCATTTTGGGAGGCGTAGGCTGATGGACTGCTTGAGCTCACAAGTTCCACAAGCTGGAGCAAAAGCAAGACCTTGCCTCTACTAAAAATAGAAAACTCATGAGGCAAGAGGATGGCTTGAGCCTAAAAGTTGGAGGTTGCTGTGAGCTATGATGCCACAGCACTCTACCAAGGGCAACAGCTTGAGAGACTGTCTCAAAAAAATAAATAAAATAAAGATAACAGACGCTATGTCTCTGAGAGAATTAAGAGTTAATATATGGAAAATACTTAGAACAGTGTGTCACATTATTAGGAGTATATATTTTGTTCTATTTTTATTAATAATGCAAATATAATGATATTGTCAGATATGAGATTTACGCCATCTGTAAAGATCTATAATATAGTAAAGCCTAGAATTTAGTAAACACATTAAATAGTAGCTCATGTTATAATTTGCAAATAAGTTCTGTCACATTTTCAGTCTCCATGATTCATACCTCAACTTAAAAAATTCTCAGTCTCTATGATTCATACCTCAGTCTTTATCATTCTTCACCAGGGCTTCAAGGGTTCTCTTTTATCAGTTGCTGCTAACCTCCAGAATAAAATCTAAAGCCTCTAGTCATAGGATTTACAGGATGTGGGTGTACAAACTCTGTCCCTAGCCATTTCCTCAAATTCACCACCACTCCCTACACTGAGGCACAATAAATTACGGATACAAAACCCAAAGCAAAGCTAGACCATTTCTTGGCTGTTTCCCTACAAGCAAGCTTACTAAATTGAGATGTGTCATAAAATCTTCCCAGTCCTCTACTTCCTCACAGTAGGGTAAATCAAAGTGCTCAGGGCAACTGCTACCAAGGCACTTACCACAGGGTACCAGTGATTAACAGGGCCCCACGAGACTTATATCGGCGACCCGGCCCTAGAACAGAACTGGCACGTTATAGGTACTCCGGGGTTGGTTACAAGTTGCCCCAAGTTTCCGATCTTCGTTCTACCTGGCACGAAGGCCATCTGGCACGCGCACATCCGCCTCGCTCCCAACCAGCGCCCAAGCACGTGCTAGGCGCTGCAGGAACGGGAGCTGGACTAGTTCTATCCGTGCTGCAGAAGGGTTTTGACGCACTTGCTGTTTCCTCGCTGAGGGCTGGGTGACACCCACCCCCTTAAGAACTGAGTACAGAAGGTGGAAACGGCTGGCCGTCACCCGCTGGGAGCAGAGGCTAGAGTTCAAAGTCACTATCTCCCTCCGCTTCTCCAGGCCGCGGTCGGGTGCACGGACACTGCCTCCTGCGGCAGCTTCGGTTCCGAGAGAGGAAAGCGAAGGGGCCACCGAAGGAAGCTCGGTCTTTCAGGGCTGTCGCCCCCGCACAGCAGGCCGAGGGGCGGCCCGCGAAACTTCCTGAAGTGGAGGGAGACGCGGGAGGGGTCGCCTGGACGCCCAGCGCTTTTGTCGCTCGCTCCTCGCCGCTGGTCCCCGCTGCTTGCGGCTCAGCGGCGCCCACGGTGAACCCCCGGCACGCCCGGGCCTCGGCCCTCGCCCCCCGGCTCCGCGGATCTTACACTCCCCGTCCCCCACCCCCACCCCGGAGCTTTATGGAGATAACCTGGGAAGAGACCACCTTGCCTCACAAGGTCTGCCGCTGTGCCCGGCGCACCCCGCGGCCGACACTTACTCGCCACTCAACTCGTCAGCTCGCTAGGCGGGCTCAGCAGCCTGCGCCGCCGCGGCTTTTAGTTACCAGGAGCAGCTGCCGACAGCTCCGTCGCTGCGGCGGAGGGAGCAGCTGCGCTTCTTCCGGCCCTGCCGCGGCGTCACCCCGCGCCTGCGCACAGCGCCCCCTCCCGACTAACAACAGGAAGAACCATAGAGGTAGGCAGGCGCTAGGGAGGAGGGACCTGAGGAGCGGGACCATAGAGAGGGCGCCTAGCCGCTCCCACAGCCGGGCTCACCTGCAGAGTCTTGACTCCCCCATTAGGCGGGAGGACGAAAGGAACCGACTCCCCTTTCCGTCCTTCCCCGTATCCCACAAGGCGTCACTGTCTCCCTACAGGTGAAAAGGGTGGGGGAACAGGTGGCCATGGAAATCGGCTGGATATGCACTTGTTTGCCCCGTTGCCTTTGGCAAGCCATTCATTCAGCAAATATGTTCTCAGGGCTTCCTGTGTGTAGGCACTGTTCTAGGAACCTGGTATACAGCAGTGAAGTGGGTCCCTGTTCTCATTACACTTATGTTTTAGTTGCAAAGTCAGTAACTAAAATACAGGCTCAACAAGGGTTTGTTCAGGCAAAAATGCAAGCAGGAAACAAATAAAAGCAGGAAAAGGGGTAGAGAGTGTCATCAGGGAAGGCAGTTTGTTCAGGTAGAAAGCTGAATGAGGCGATGTGCCTGGTGTTTAAGAAACAGCAAGAGGTGGTGTCCATGGGGCTCAGTGGTAGGGTGCCAGCCACTGAGTCTGGTGGGTTTGAACCCCACCCAGCCAGCTAAAACAACAATGACAACTGCAATAACAACAACAACAACAAAAAGAAATAGCTGGGCATTGTGGCAGGCACCTGTAATCCCAGCTACTTGGGAGGCTGATGCAAGAGAATCACTTAAGCCTAAGAGTTTGAAGGGGCTGTGAGATGTGACACCATGGAACTCTACCCAGGGCAACAGCTTGAGAATCTGTCACAAAAAAAAAGGAAAAAGCAAGAATGCCAGCTTGGCTGCCATGCAGTGAGAAAGGGAGAATGTTAGGGATAGGGGTTGTCCAGGTAGCAAGAACCAAGTTGTAAACGATCTTACTAAGATTTTGGTCTGTCTTGGATTTTATTCTAAGTGTGATGGGAAACAACTGGAGAGTTGGAAACAGGGGTATGAGATCCACTTATGTTTTCCAGAGATCTGGGGTCTGTTTGGAGACCTCTATAGCAGAAGCTCTACAGTAGAGGTCCTAGTAGAGGAAAGTCAGTTAGGAGTCTCTTGCCAGAGTCTAAATGGTGACTTAGACTACTATGGCCAGGAACGAGGTAAGGAGAAAGGGCCAGATGAGGGATTTTTTTTTTTTTTTTAAGGCAAGACAGAGGATTTTCAGATAGATCAAATGTTGAGAGAGAAAGAAAAGGGTCAAGGATGACTACTTGGTTTTTGGCTTGTGCAGCTGGGTGAATGGTGGTTCCACTCACAAATATGGGGAACATAGGGAGGAACAGATTACCATGTTTTGGATATGTTAAATTGCCAAGAAGACCTTCAAATCTTACAGATAATCAAGTAGGCAGTTAGATAGATGAGTCTGGAGCTTAAAGAGGAGAGGTGGACTTAGAGCAGTGGTTCTCAACCTTCCTAATGCCGTGGCCCTTTAATAAATTCCTGTAGGTCGTGACCCACACATTAAGAACCACTGGCTTAGAGGCTAGAGATTTAAATGGGAAGTTACTATAGATATCATAACCTATAGAAACTAGATAAAGCCATGTGCCTGGCTATACTTATACCCAGGGAATGAGTGCAGCTAGAGAAAGAACAGCTGAGCCAAGGGTTGAGGAGGGAGATGATAAGAAGGAGAAAAACAACAGAGTGTGGTGTCCCAGAAGTCGAAGAAACCACTCCCAATGAGAAGGCTGTGAACAGCAGCACTGCCAGATGCTGCTCAGGGAAACAAGAAAGAAGGACATTCACTGAAAGTGAGGTCAGGGAAGGGGTCTCGGAGGTCTGTGGAGGAAAGAGTGGGGAGCCAAATGACTAACAGAATGTTGTTGGCTTCCTGGGTCTGGAGCTTTGTGATCATAAAGTTAAAGTGAAGGCAGGCAGCAAGGATGTGGGTCTTTCTCCAGCCACGTGCACAGGTGCTAGAGAGAGATTTTGGAGATGGTGCAGGTGTTAGTCATGATGAAACCCTAGGGTGTGCCTCTGAGTGGGTGGCTGAGCTGGAGGGGAAGTTAAGGTCATTGAAGAGGCGACACCAGGAACCTAGAGGCCTGGGTATGTGTGGATCATTTAAGATGTTAAACATCAGGCTTGGCACCTGTGGCTCAAGTGGCTAAGGCGCCAGCCACATACACCTAAGGTGGCGGGTTCAAATCCAGCCCAGGCCCACCAAAACAACAAAGACAGGTGCAACCAAAAAAAATAGCCGGGCATTGTGGTGGACGCCTGTGGTCCCAGCTACTTGGGAGACTGAGGCAGGAGACTCGCTTGAGCCCAGGAGTTGGAGGTTGCTGTGACCTGTGATACCATGGCACTCTACCCAGGGGGACAGCTTGAGGCTCCTGTCTCAAAAAAAAAAAAAAAAAGATGTTAAACATCAAGAAAGATGTCAGAAATGGGGGTGGAGGAGACCATAAAATAGGTTTTAAAATCTTCAATGAATAAAGGCCCCTCATGAGGAAGCCAGCAGATAGCTTCACAAGAAAGAAGAGGGTACACATATTTCCCAGGATTCAATTCATTGTCATGTTGTTTTTGTTTTGCTTTGTTTCCAGGAAAGTAGGATGAACTATAGTCTGGATGCAGCAATGAATGCTCCTCCTTGAGGACAGTGGAATGTGGCTTACAGGGGTTCACGCCGGGAGAACAAGACCACTGTTAAGATGGCTACAGGGGAGCAGCATTCTGAGGGAATAGCCATGTTTCAGGGAAGCAGAAGATGAAAGGCTGCTTTGAGGAGAGGCTAAGTATACAGAGATCTTCCTGATGATAGACCCTAGGTTCTGGAGGGTGCCGTGCATGGGAAACTTTTGAACAGAGGTGTTCAACTCATGGCCCAATATAGTTATGAAGGCAGCCCAACACAAAATCATAAACTGGCTTAAAACATTATGAGATTTGGGCTCATTTTCTGGTGGAATTCAACTGCACAATTCTTGAGCATCAACTTTGTAGATAATTTCTTTTTGAAATGTCGTGTAAACACATGTAGGCTCTCACTATGTATATGCATGTGTGGCATCAGTTTTATTGTGGTATGTTGCTTCTAGTGTGTTATCTCCCAAGCACAGATAGTTGAATTGACACCATTAGGTGATACATGTGCTTGTAGTGACTAGTCCAGGCAGTGATTATCAACAATATTTCAACCTACCATTGCAACATTAGCTGTTTAATGTTACTTAGAAGTCCAGTAAGCATTTTTTTTCCTCTTTTGTGAGAGGAGGGGACAGAGTCTCACTTCGTTGCCCTCAGTAGAGTGCTGTGGCATCATAGCTAACAGCAACCTCAAACTCTTGGGCTCAAGTGATTCTCTTGCCTCAGCCTCCCAAGTAGCTGGGACTATAGGTGCCCACCATAACACCCAGCTATTCTGAGAGATGGGATCGCGCTCTTACTCAGGCTGGTCTCAAACTGTGATCTCAGGCCATCCACTTGCCTTGGCCTCCCAGAGTGCTAGGATTACAGGTGTGAGCAACCAGTAAGCATTCTTATTGGGTTACCAAGGATACCTCCATACCTCATATATCGCCCACTGCCGCACTTTACAATCAGCTCTGCCTTGCCCTACATCAGCAGCCTCAATATGGAACAGCCCAAACTGTGCTTTCTATTTTCCTGTCAATTAATTTTCTTTTCTTTCTTTCTTTCTTTTTTTTTTTTTTTTTTTTTTTTTTTTTTGCGGTTTTTGGGCAGGGCTGGGTTT